CTCTTATACACATCTAGATGTGTATAAGAGACAGCACACACACACACACACACACACACACACACACCAATGCAAGGAATTTGAGCAATAGCAAGATGACAGAATCCAGATTGCACAATCACATTGAAAGCCAGGAAGTCCCACAGTGTCCAGAAAGCAGAATTGCACCAATATTACACCAATATTACACCAATATTACACCAATATTACACCAATGGAGAATCGAAAACTGAAACCGAATGTCAATGAGAGCTTACTCTCGTCATCACCAACATAAGTGTCCAGGCCCTTCCCCCTACTTGGCGCTCGGCACCCAGACTACTCTCCCTGGTACGAATTGACAATGCAACTGTTGACGTCAGCAGCCACAAAACATTAAGATGTCGCCCGTTTGCAGACTATCGCCATAACCAGGTACGTGCCCTCACGTCATCCTCCTCATCTCTCTTTCTTACTCTCTCCCTTGTCTTTCATCCACGTATTCTCCCTATTGCATGAAGACCACCACGACCCCTTGCTGTACAACCAAGCACCAGCCAGCTATGGAGGTTGGGCTACGGCACTGCCCTCAGCAGCACCCTTCCTTCTACACGACCGCACGTGCGTTGCACCTTGCTCTGCGCTAGTGGCAGTCCACGAGCATTCGCTCCAGCAGCGCTGCCACGAACTGGCAAGTGCCCAAATGCCTGGGCAGGTAGCGAGCTCTTTCGTATATGGAAAGAGTCTGGCCTGTGTGCTGCCTGGTTGGGCTGGGCCTGTGCCCAGAAGCTTCCGGTAGGCCCCGAGTGGCTGGGCCTCTGCTGCTACTGCCCTGGGCCCCATTTGGTTATGTCTCCCAACTGCCCGTCGTGTATACTGCTGCAGATGCGGCCCAGGGCCTACTTCAAAGAAGGCCGAAACAAAGTGTGGCTGGCCGTGGGCTGGGTTCCTTCAACCAACTGACTCGATGCAACGGCCTGAACCCCAAATGCGAAATTGACAACAATGGGCCCCTCGTGATTTCATTAGGCCCGCCTTCACTTAGGGCGGGCACATATGCAAAATGGGGCCTTTAGGCCTGCTGAGGAGCCAAATGCTCGCACCAACAAAAGAAAAAAACAAAAAAAAAAGAAAACGGAACAAGAGCCAGACCCAGACCCGGATTCAACAAACCTGAATGAGTTGCAAAGAAAACCAGACGAAGAGAACAGACCAGACCAAACACACAAACAAAGAAGAAGGAGAGAAATAACCATTAGCTACGCCGGACCGGACACCGGACCGATTCCGGAGCCCGGACCCCGGACCTCCCGAGGCCATCCAGACTTCCGGAAAACCGGAATATTCCGGAATTTCCGGACCGGTCCGGACCCCTGGTCCGGATCCTGGTCCGGATCCCCTATATTGTACGGACAAAAAAAAAAAAAAAAAAAGAAGTACTGAAGGCATTTTCTTTTGGTGCAGCTTTTCATGTCCGAGGGGGGAAATGCATCCTCACCAACGATCCTAGCTGAGTTGGTACACCCACGAACTGTTGAAGTACACATTCAGGTTCAATTCCAGATATTAGATGCATATAATAATGAGCGAGGCCGGTGTGCCTGGATCATACGACACTGGCTGTCCTTCCACA